GAGGAGGAAGAGAGAGAGAGAGAGAGAGAAAGAAAGAGAGTGACAGAGAGGAGGGATATGTCCACAGTCGGTGCTTATATAGCTAGCTACAAACGGTGCAGATCGTTTCAGTCGTTCCAATCTCTCGTCTCAGGATTAACCCGCTTTTTTTTCCGTCAATTATTCTGCTCTAAATAAACTACATTCTTTTGAGTCTTGGCTCGCACGATGTATTTGCCTGCGACTGTTTGATTAAAGTCAATCAATCGGCAACTCGACAAGTCGATCAATTTTGTCGATTTAATTATCGCGACGAGTGCTCGAGGAGATAGCGCACGACGACTTGTTTTATCACAATAAGACAATTAAGATTTTTCGAATGATCAAGGATGTTCTTCCAGACTCTCTTTGCAAGTGTCGTTCATTCATCATCGTAAAGCAAAGGCTGGAGAGTAGTATATCTTTAAAGTGCGGTGCAGCATATCCCAAAGGCTGGAGCCGAATCGCAAGGTTCGTCGTGCGAAGAAAGTGTTGCCTCCTCTCTTTTCTCGAGGAGCTTCGGAGATTTCGGTCGACAGTGATATGCCGCCACAAGAGAAATTTACCGCGTCTGGCGGGGTTTCTGGAGACATGTCCTCGAAAGACACAAGTCCAGATGGCCTGTCAGCTTCGTCCGACGGACTTCCGGTGACCGGCAAGAAATCTGCCAAGAATCACAAGGACGGGGAGCAGGATGATCAGGAACAGCCCAAGGATATGGATTTTGATGATTTGCTGCCGCATGTCGGCGAATTCGGCACCTATCAGAGAATTCTATTTGTGTTGATGATACCGTTCGCCTTCTTCGTCGCCTGGGTGTACTTCTCGCAAATATTCATCACTCTAGTGCCGGAAGAGCACTGGTGTCGTGTACCGGAATTAGAGAATCTTACGATCGAGAAAAGGTAGGGCAAAAATTGATCATTGTTGCAATTTCACGTCACGATTTAACAAAGGCGTACGTTTGGAGAACCGTAGGATTATTTCGAAAAATGCGGGAAAATTATAATAGTGTTAATTGCATTTCCGCGCATTGTTTCGTGTCTTTATAGACACGTACATTTTTTTAGTTTGCACCTTCTCTCATATCATCTCTCGTATCTCTTCTATTTGGTTAACGTAAAACGTAAAGCAGTTAAATCAGTTCTTTGTGTAAAAGTCATTTATATAGTTGATAGATTAGCAAAATCATGGGAAATTTGAACAGCTGTGTCTGTAAAGACGTGCCTGCCAAGCGACAAAACTACCAAGTCTGAATATCGAATGTTGTTTCGATTAAAACAATTTCGCAGAAATAACTACATATTTAAACTCTCATATAGGATAATATAGTGTGACATAAATGTGTGTAAAAAAAGATATAGATACAATTGCGTACAATAATATGCGACACATGTCGCATTAGGAAAAGAAACCTTACATTTTTACTTTACAGAAATGTGATAAAAACACTCACGAACATTCCAATTATCTGAAATACGCAGAAGCGATGACAGCAATCTGTTATATTTTCTCACTTCTTGATTAACACATTACGATTATATTGTCAAACATGACATACTATACGTAAATTATTTCGTAAGAGAAGCATTTGGTTTCTCAACCATATTGGTATTTTAAAGTTTTTTAAATATTATTTCATCTCTTTGTGCAATTGCACTTTTGTAAGTACATACTTTTCTCTTTTTCTTCTTTTTTTTCTTACTTTTTGTGTTTCGTTGTTCACAACGACTCAACGATCGATTACTTATTTTCTTTTTGATGTTATCGATTACATCTTTAAACAGGTTAGTGGAAATCATTATTTCACTTAAGTAATTGCTTGCATTGTAATTGTGAATCAACATTCCAATTATCTGAAATACGCAGAAGCGATGACAGCAATCTGTTATATTTTCTCACTTCTTAGTGTCACACATTACAATTATATTGTCAAACGTGACACATTATACGTAAATTATTTCGTAAAAGAAGCATTTGGCTTCTCAACCATATTTCTCGTTTGAAAAATATTCGTTAAAAAAAAGACCAATCAACACGATACGTGTTACTTTTGTTATTATCGTTATTATCGCAGCATTAACGTTTTTGCCTCCTGACACAAGCGTGACGTTCAGCTAGGGAAAGTATAGAAACGACACGATGTCGGGACCTTCGCAATTTAATTGCGTGATTCGGTTCGACAAGGTTCGCATAGTTAATAATCCTATGTGCAAGTTAATAGTTTCTGACGTCAGCGTAATGACGAGATAAATGATCGGTTTTGGTCAATGGCAGTTTTTGTTTGTTTCTTGCGAATCCTAAAAATAAACACATGCGCGTGCACAGAAAAAAAAGTATTCAAGCGAATATTAAAAATATTAAAATATGACACACACGCGCACACATCATATAGCACTTTTAATCGTTTTCAAATGGAGCAGCAGATGCACTGCTATTTTTGCTAATCCGTATAATAGATCATACTTGCAATATTATTATGACTTATCATACTAAATGGAATGAAAAAAATTTCTTTAAAAACATTAAATACATACTTCAAATACACATAACTTGATGCAATAGGTTTAGGTTTGAAAGCTGGTCAGAATATTCGTAGATAATTAATAATAAATTTACTCGAAACCTTCATATAAGCAATGAGAGCGTGAACGTAAAAAATACTTGTGTAAATCTTTCGACACAACACCATGCTAATGTCACGCTGATTGCACGTGAGCGACAAGAGACGGATGTTCTTACACGGCAAGTGTCTCTGTGATGAGCATTTCGCTCTATATCATATTTTGTAATTGCACGATTATGTACAAGCACAGGCGATAAAATTTATAAAAATTATTTAAAAACTACGATTGTGTCAAAAGATGTCAAAAAGAATAACTTTAAAGTACTTTACGTATACTGTATAATTATATAAAGTATTTCGCGATGTATCCGCAAAGTTTCATGAATATCTATAGTTTTTATGAATTTTTTGAAGAAATCAAATTTTTCCCAACAAGATCAACAAAGATTCAATTAAATCTCACTTGTTTCACTGTTTCGTAACATTACATATGAATATCTTAATAATTAAGCTGTAAATAACAAATTTGTTCCAGCAAAATTTACTCAAAGATAAACGGAAAATATAATATCGTAATCAATTTGCTAATCTTTCAAATAATCTCCTCGTTTTGTGACAAGTTTCATTCGAGTAAAAGAAATTTATATAATTATTAATAATGCTTTCACAAATAATATATATAAAAATGTATGACTTTAATGAGAATTTGTTTTTTGAACAGGCATTTAAATTGATGTGGTTCAGCTGTGTAACTTTAATATTGTTGCGCAGCTAGGTATTGACTCGTTAAGTGCGTGAGAAGAGATACGCGCGAGCGTATCGAGGATAAAAAATGTAGTACGTGCATTGCAATCGTTGTCAGATGTATTCGTTCATTTGCGTAAATGTTACGTAAAGGTCTGATTGCATGCGCTATTAGTTGTAGCAGCATACACAATAATTCGAAATCTCTATACACGGTCTTAATTGCTGGCGTCATTTTCAATTTCTCTCGGAATACTCCCTTCTGCACGTGACATTTATTGAACATTTGACATTTACTAGAGCTTCTCGCTATATCGATACTGCTTTATCAGAACTTTGTGTTGACACATTGTGTCGACTTCCCTGATGTAGACCCATGTTTTTATTCATTTTTCAGAATTGCGTTGGCTATACCGGCTAATGAAGATGGCTACTCCAAATGTACGATGTATGATATGAATTACACAGATCTTCTGTTAAAAGGGATCGAAAAGGCTGATCCGAATTGGCCGAAGAAAAGTTGTTCGCACGGTTGGGAGTTTAACTTCACCGACATCCCCTACGAGACTGTAGCGACCGAGGTAATAAGGAAAAACATTTCAAAGTAACTCGAATGTGGCGAATAACGAGCGGCTTATGGTGTGACAACGTGATAAGACCGACATACACAATAAACTAATAAACAATAATACATTTACGACCGACAACCGAATAACGCGTATTATCAACGCGTGTTAAATGTTGCACACTCGTGAATGCACTACTACAAGGACAATGCAAGTCGTGAGAAACTGGTCACTCTTACTTTTTTTTCATAGAATTAAGCCTTCTCAATTCTTCTACACACACGTTAATTTTCTACATTAATTTTAAATCATCTCCTAAAAACTGTAACAAGATTTGTAACACAAATCGTTCTCGGTGCGTTTATCAACGAACGATAGCTTCAACGAGCACGTGTCGATCCGAGAAATAAATTATTCGATCCTAGATCTCCGTTGCAGTTGGGCTGGGTATGCGAACACAGCGCACTGCCGACGACAGCCCAGAGCGTCTTTTTCGTCGGTGCGATCTTCGGCGGCCTGATTTTTGGATGGATCGCTGACAGATACGGCAGGATACCGGCGTTGGTCGGTGCCAATGTCACTGGATTCTTGGCGGGCGTCGCGACAGTGCTGGCCGGCAGTTTTTGGGAGTTTGCGCTGTGCCGGTTTTTCGTCGGCTTCGCTTTCGATAATTGCTTCACTATGATGTATATATTAGGTATATATGACACATGTATGTTGTAGAATCCTTATAAATTTCCAATTCCTTCATTAAAAATGGTACGAATCAAGAATCGACGACGAAACAAATTATGGTTCAACTTTCATTCGCGTCAAATTACAGTAATGCGAATAATCGCTATTTCTACTATCAATCATTAAATTATTTGAAACGTACAATTAAATATCTAGCGATATGCTTGTCTAATAGGATCGGCGGAATTCCAGGTGGAATCGATCGATCGATTTTTTGGAATCAATTTTCTTTCCTACCGAGCTTAATTTTGATTAGTGCCATCCTGAAAATAACATTGGAAACTCGGTATACGCGTTTCTATTCAAAGAATACTTCTCATATTCTTCTTTTAAATATGTTGTGAACAATATGTGTAGAACAATGCTATGTGCTAGAATGCACATCTCCTTGCATTCACCAAACCATTAATCATCAACCTTCAACAATCGTCGTTATTTTGTTGCAATTATAATTAAGTTGATTAAATCATCACAAACGCCTTGGAATCCAAACAATTCGCAATTTATACGTGTATAAATGTACCCGAAAACATTACAGTGGAAGAGATGTAGATGTAATTTTTTCCTTTTCTGCTTTATTTTTCCAACTATGCTTGTAATTATCGTCGGTGGACCTTGGCCAAATAAATGGGTAATCCGCCAGTCCGAATGATGATTGTCACTCTCGATCAGCTTTTATCTCGGAGTATCTTGAGAGTATCGAGTCACGGCCGATTACGATCGCGGGATTCAGCTTTCAGGTCAAGCTCACTCGGTTTGACTCACCAAGTCACGGTGATTGCACTCGCGCATTTTGTCAGTTCCGTTTTGCCGATTCCGCTATCGATAGAAGCGTTGCCAATGTCAGAAAGAGAGAAAGAGAGAGGCATGTGCCGTTATTAAATTAAAAGACTATATGTGTAACTATGTGCAGTTCGCAAAAGAATTATATATTTCGTTTGACTACATTCGCTGACATTTCGTTAAATCGTACAGGTTGGAATATTGCACGGTATTATCTTTGACAACACCTTGTCTCTGTGACTCAACCGTGGTTTTATAGCTTGTATCAATTTATCTGTTCTGAATAGAGAGAAAATATTAAAAAAAAAAAAATTTTTCACTTTTCTCATAATGATTGTGGAATAAGAAATATAAAAAATCAATATTCAAGACTAATACTGACACGCGTCTCGTAACTTGTGAAATTATTCAATAAATATGCAACCGATATATTTTCAAGTGTCTTGAAATATATGAAAATCAATTTCTACTGCTTCGCGCAGCCTTGTAACTATCATTACATATGCATAGACTGGTTTGATTATTTTTACGCTTCACAAATAGATGTAATGGATAATACGAAGATAGTACATGGAAAAAACTACTTGTCGATCTAATTACGATACTATTAATAGTAATGCGCTATCTTTCGCAAACGCTATCTTTAACAAACGGAAAGTATTATGCTCGAGTATTCGTTCTTGTACGACAAAGACGAAATTAATTAATGTTCAATTATTAACGCAACGAAAACTTTACGCCAACTATTAAACATCCTATTATGCTAGTAATTGAGTATGCTCAAATTACAAGGTTTCAGAGAGTTCAGCGCGTTCTCTGATTTTCGTTCTAGACACAAGATCACGTTTTTGCACAATGTCAGGGCGAAAAATATCGACGCGTGACGATGTAAATAATTTAGTTAAATCTATCTCAAAGCAGTTGATTGTCTGCATAATTTATCAAGATGATATAAAGTCTGTGAAAAAGTAAATCATACGCCGCGTATCGTTGTTATATACATGCGTGTAGCCGCAACATTTCAATCCGTAAATTTTGAGACGCAACTACGAGACGCAAAATACTTGTACATGTACACGTACAGTATACAGCGATCGAAACGATCTCAGTGATATTGTGACTTTTCTAGCGTGAGCGACTAAAATTTGGATCTTAATCAATATTAGGATTTCGCAGATGTCGAATCAATATTTACAAGAATGCAATAATATCCCACGAGCACATGTGCCAAAATGTGATACTTAATTGAAAAGGCAGGTACGAGCGAATTCGCTGACATTGATGCGAGAATTGGCTGGGATTTGCCTTCTGATCCAGAATATACAATCATATTTATAGAATGATACGTCTCTTTTTTTTAAGTATTGGAATACGTGGGACCAAAGTGGCGCACTTTTGTGGCGAACATGTCGATAGCTCTCTTTTTTACATTCGCCGCCTGTATTCTACCTTGGATCGCGTATTTTTTGGCCGACTGGAGGATGACTTGCATCGCCATATCCGTTCCTCTGGCTCTAGCAATAGCGGCGCCTTGGTTGGTACCAGAGAGCGCGAGGTGGCTTGTTAGTCAAGGACAAGTAGAGAGAGCCATTAAAATCCTGGGAAAATTCGAACGCATCAACGGGACGAAAGTGCCTGAGAACGTTTATCAGCAGTTCCGTGTAAGAGCCACTTTTCATTATATTCTTCCTTATTTTTACGTTCATCGAGATATGAAATTTATATATTATATTTATCGATAAAAATTGATTATCTAATAAACGTTTACTGATGTAATAGGAAACTTGCGCCAGAGCATGCAAGGAACAAGAAGCAGATAAATCTTACTCTGTAGTGGACTTATTTAAGAGTCCACGTTTGCGAAACGTTACGATCCTTCTCATTATTATTTGGTAAGTATCTTTTATGTACTAAGTCGATACTGATCTTTCTCCAATTCTCGTAGCGTTGACAACAATAATGGATATTTGATGACTATAAAGAATAAGATAACCTTTTATCTGTATATCAATCGATGTATTCGAAACGCAGGATGGCTATATCATTGGTATTCGACGGTCATGTAAGAAATGTGAATAATCTCGGACTCGACGTCTTTATGACGTTTACCATTGCGGCATTTACTGAGCTACCCGCCGACACATTCCTCACCCTCGTTCTAGACCGATGGGGTAGACGATGGTTAGCCTGCGGTACCATGGTAATTTCCGGAATTTTTAGCATTTGGGCAAGCGCAGTGTCAAACAGTGAGTGTACTCTCTGCGAGATTACCTTTTTACTTGCACAAAATTAATTAACATGACATTGCACAGACTGCGAAATTATACAATACTTGATGTTTTTTCTTCAATCAAATGTTTCAGATATTTACTCGGCCACCTTAGCGATTGTTGGTAGATTTTGGGTTAACATCTCGTACAATATCGGTCTTCAGTACGCGGCTGAGGTATTGCCAACGGTTGTAAGAGCTCAAGGAGTGGCCTTAATTCATATAATGGGATATGTGGCTAGCATTCTTGCGCCTTTTGTCGTTTACCTGGATGTTGTCTCATCCATTCTACCACTATTAGTTCTCGGCATTATAGGTGTTTTCGGTGGTCTGCTGACACTCTTCTTGCCAGAAACGCTCGATAAGGACTTGCCACAAACTTTGCAAGATGGTGAAGATTTTGGAAAAAATCAGGAAATGTGGGACATGCCCTGTCTTTCCAAGTACGTATTGTACATATTGTAACGCATTGTAAACGATTGGAGCACCCCCTATATTTATTATATATATATTGTTTTTTTAGGAAAAAACCTGCAGTCGAGGTAATGCCACCAGTGGCAATCTTCCGATCCTTTGAACGCAGCAGTCTACGGAATTCAATGAGAGCGTCTACACGCGGCGAGACTCTGAGAAGTAGCATGATACAAAGATCAAGCATAAGATCGCGTAAGGGTGTAAATGCGGCCACAGAAGTGGATAGCGCATGAATTCTCTGATAAAAAGATAGCCCTGATTTTTTGTAAAATCCATTTATCGTCTACCTATCATTATATATTTTTTTCTCTTCTAAAATCATGTGATACCGGAGCTATAAAAATCAAGTTACATATGATACATATAGATATCAAACCTTGACACCTTGACACATGTCTGTATCAAACTTTTAACACTCCAATTTCATATCGACGAAAAGAAAGAAATGTAGCACACTGCTGCTCTAGCTGCGTGCATAATTCAATGAAAAAGAGAGAATAGTGAAATAATTAATAATTATCGTATTAACAATAAAAAAATAATAATACTAAGAAATAAAATACAATATATTAACTTATATAATTGAAAGTAAATAAATTATTAAATTTGATGTTAATTGTCTGTTCAAATTTTACTGTGATTTTATATATAATGATAAAAGATTTTCAATTTTCTTTACTATATTTTATATCTTATATGTATGATGATTCTGAAATCTTACTTGGATTTCGAATACATAAACAAGGATCAAAAAAGCAGTTATGCAGTATTATGCAATATTGTAAATTTATAATTTTTTACTAGTATTTATCGCTCCTATATTTGTATTTAGCAATAGAAGAAAACTGTAAGTTGTACAAAAATTAAAAAATGCGCAAACACACCAGCATTTGTTTTTTTTACAAAATGCAATCTTCGATTAAAAAATTGAATTTTTAGATGTACTGACTTTTGGATAACAATTATATCGGAAAATATACAAAAAGTAAATAAAAAATAATTATCAATAAATCAGAAATTTCAGATAAGAAGTTCAGATAAAGAGGATTTCAGATGAGGAGTTCAGATAGGTCAGATATCGAAATCGAACTATCAAACAGTTCGGACCTTTCGAACTAAAAATATGTTCGAACAGATCGTACTAACTTCAAGCTCGAAAATTCGGAAATTATTATAGTTTCAATGTAAAACTTATGAAATGCGCAATAATGTGTGTGTATAATTTTATATATGTATATATCGTATTAAATGTAAATGAAAATGGGGGAATGGCAAATATTCGAATCGTAATTTTGTCATAAGATGATATTAACAATATCTTCCTATTAATAGAAATATTTATATAAACGTTCTTCCTAAATGTTAAAATTCGATTTATGTTGTATATATAATGTTTTATAATATAAATACAATAACAATGTTAAATTAACTTGTATCCTGTCAATCTGTACCTTAATAGAAATAAACTAATGTTCGGTCAGATAGATAATAATCAATGTGATCAATTTAAATAAATAAATAAATAAGAATGTCAATATTGATAAATATGCGATTACTAATATACTATAATAAATGATAATCTATTTAATTGGTAACTCTTAAATTATATAAAAAGTAGATAAGAGAATAACAGAGAAAATCAATTTTAGTAAAAACAACCTGCCCCATCAATTTCTGCTTCTCATTTTGAAGTTAAAATTACAACGCCCATTTATTTTTCAGTACTTCGTTGTCCAAATAAATAACGTTGTCATTTGTTGTTGGTCATGATATTTTATAAACGTAATTTTCACATACCAAGACTAAAACGCGAGTAAGATCATTTTCGAGCATCAATAGAAGAACAATAAAGTTATAGATCTATAGTTTTATAAATATGATGCAATAATAGACATATTTTATCGGTTTATATTCAACCGAGAAAAATATCGTACAAAATATTAATTTAGTAATAAAAGTGTAAAATATATTATGATACAGCTGATATTGAAAAATTATACATACTTGTATAGTACACATACCTGATAATAATCATGCTAATGATGATCAATCCCAGCTTTGTTGCATACCGGCGAGAGGATAACTTGGAGAAATAAAGACAAATCGACTAAACCTCCAACAATTCCAAGTAACTCTTCACGACAGAAACAGAAAGGAATCTTTCTTCGGTACTTCAATCAAAGTATTAAAATATATTAGAGTATATGATGATAATTGCAAACAATGTTTAAACCGTTGCAATAGATATTCAGCACTTTATGCAAGATATAATAACTCTTGAAATTCACGTTAAAAATATTTTGGTTAACATGAGAAATGGGCAAAATGATAAAATATTTGAAAAAATATTATTAGCATGGTTAATTTAAGATAATTAAAGATGTATCACACCTGGCAATGATCATGCTCTCTCGCTGTATTCTTGATGTGTCTAAGACGGAAAACAAAGTGATATAAAGAGAATTTCGAACAATTACTACGGATATGCAAAACGAATCGACGTCGAAATCGTTGTAATACGATTGCATGCATTACTGTAAACCTAGGACACATTTACTGTAATCTCTCGCGCGCGAGATTCACTTTTAGATACAATAATCGCAAGAATTCAGAGCAATCGCATCGCGCGCATTCTCAGACTAGCCATAATTCGAGACCTATTCTCAAAGTGACAAAATGGCCGAAATTAACAAAACAATATGACGCTAATTTCAAGTTGAAACAAAATATTTTAATAAAAATAAAAAATGTTGAACAAATATCGAATCAGATATTATATAACTATAGAACAAAAAATGCCCATTAATGAGAAAATAATATGTCAAATTTGCAAAAAAATTTTGATCAATTTTGGGAATATAAAGAAACAATCCGTCGATTCTGAAAACACAACAAAGGCAATTACAATATTTTTAATGAGTTAGCACAAATGTCCAATTTCGTGAAAGATCTCTCATCTTTCAACTCGAAATACAGAATCTCTCACGCGAGATTCACCTTTGGACAATACAATCTCAAAGAATCGTTATTTTACTAGAAAAAGCATTATATGCTAGAGTATCAAAATCTCACAATCAGTAAAACTTAACCTGTTTCAATCTGCTGTTGCTAGACAATCGATGATACGCCGTTAATCACAAACATTCGCGGTAAATAATACATTCCGGCAATCGGCCGTCACTTTAAACGGCATTTTTAACAACAGTCAGATTCATTTTGCTTTTAATACAGATAAAATTAGTGATTAATTACAAATGTTTACCTCTGTGTTCCGAACTAACGCGCCTAGACCAACGGGCAAATATGATGCGCCGTATCGGTCGGTATAATACCGCACTCAATTCAGACGGAAGAACAAGAGACATCTCACAGCTATTGCTTGCACTATTATACCAACCGATACAGCAGGTCATTTTTACCCGTTAGTTCCAAGCGCGTCAGTTCGGAATACAGAAGTAAATATTTGCAATCAATCGCTTATTTTAGCAGCCGTGAGATGTCTCGAGTCATTCCGTCCGAGTTGACTGCAAGTTGCAACAAGCGCGCCATACGAATCC